CATCTGTATCCACAACATCGTGTCTGAATCATCTGGAATCCACAGTTGTTCGTCACTGATAATGCCGGTCATAAAAATACTTTGAACTTTGACGTCTCAGCTGGTTTTTCTTTTTCATTTTATTTTTATTTGAAACTGATTCGACATACGAGATCTGACTTCCATCTCGCATCCTTCCGCGTAACATATCCGCAGTCGTTCTCTCATATTGTAATTTATACAACCTTGATAAAAAGCGCACAATCGAATGGATGCATATGCGGCCGTTGTGTGACACGCTTTCTACGCGAGTTTTTTTTAAAACACAAACTAACACTTCAATCATCGACAATGGACATGATATCGGGCAGGAGTTAGTAACATGTAAACGTATGACATAATTTGATAAACATGGAGAATGGAATTTGATAGTCATTGGACTTGGGAATGTGTCACGTTGTTTTCAAAGAGTGTGACTTTTTTTTGTTTTATTGTACTTTGTTTACATTCAGCTAATTTACAGGTATATTTATTTGACAGCGTGAGAAGGATCGCTATCCTGCGATGGCACTTTCTTAGATATTATATATTTTTTGAGACACTTTGGCGGTAAAAGCTTGTGCAGGTTATACGCTCAATGGTTTGGATGACGACTTAGACGAGCCATGTATCTGGAGCAGTAATGACTAATTTCTTCTTCTATAGTTGGTATTCTGAGATCTTGATGTATCAACCAATTGGGAACATATTTTGGAGCGTTCACGATTTCTTTCAAAATTTTATTTTAGAACCTTTGTAGAATATTTATGTTCGATTTATTGGCCGCTCCCATAGTTGTAGACCGTAGGACCATATTGGTTTAATAATTGTCTTGTATATTAGGAGTGTGACTTTTTATGAAGATTTTTTTGTTTTAAGCTAGATTTATTTACATCACCGGGTTTATACCCAAATACATAGCAACTGCTTTTGTAAAATGGTACACAAATTCTTTAGACTCAAAGTATTTAGAGATAATAGGAAACCACCACAAAAACTCACATATATGTTATATGATTTTCAAAAATGGTCTCGATTTTAATAAAATATTAAGTCAAATGGCTTCAATAATAAATTTTATCAAGTTAGTTTTTTGTAGTGCATATAGCGGATATGACTCTGACCGGATATAACTCCGGTCGGATATGACTACTCCCAAATATGATTCCGGCCGGATATAACTTCGCCCGGATATGACTTCTGCCGTATATGACTCCGGCCGGATATAACTTTGGCCCGAATATGACTCCTTCCGGAGGCTCCGGATATGAATCTGGTCGAAGTCATATCCGAGATTCAAGCCTTCCAAGACTTTTTTGGAGAACTTTTATTTCGAAATGTGTATAATTTCAAGTGCTCTAATTTTTAAAACTATATACTCACACAATTTTCTGAATTTTACGCTAATCTACATTTGATTATGTTTTTAGTAAATTATAATTTTTTTTTATAATAAACAGTTCTCCTGCCCTGTTTTATCGTGTGCTTTATGTTACACCAGAGCAGAAGATTAACGGCCGTTGATTTTTTTTTATTATTCTAATTAATCCGTTGAGTTGTTTCTTACTCATCATCTCCCATCGTTATTTTTTACTTAAACTATTATTATGAGTCATTTCACGTGATATCAACAAGTTGAACACATCGTTTATATTTAGATCCAGCTTTTTATTGAGAATTTTATCGATTTTATTGAGTATTGGGAAAATTACATATGAATACTAGATTGATAAAAATTCGTTGGAAAAATTAAAACATTAGTCGAATATTTTATTTGCCAATTTTGCATATATCTATACGTATTATTTTATATATTTTTTATTTTCTTTATCAATTTGATCCGATTTCCATACGCGTGCTGGATGCATCGTACCCAGATCGCGTATTCGGTTGATGGCACAAAAAGCCAGATGTATAACACAAAGAAGTCGATGAACCAGTTTCTCTATGTACCGGAGGCAGAAAAAACTGTGAAATAATATTTCAACATCTCAGACACATATTTAACAATCTATTTTGCATATAAAGATAAAATGCACAAAGGGAAAAATGCAATCAGAACTAATATATCTAATTGTAGTATTGTGTACAACCTCTAAAGACATTTGCTAAATTGCTTATTAAATTTTTATTAATTACTTTCGATTACAATTTGACTAAAATTAATTGCATGTTTAATGTTAATAAATTATTTAATTACAACGTTGATCAAAACTTGTAGTTACAGAAACCGGTCTTTATAAAGTCTGGAACTCGTTGTGAATTAAGAAGAAAATATTTTTAATGAAAGGACATAATAAATATGATTATATTTAAATATTGAGATGAAAGTAAATTATATCGTATATGATATGCAAATTAAGCGAACAATGTTTTATAAGACACACATTTTTTAGAATGGTAACTTTGAGGAGGAACAATTTTTATAAAACCTAAAATTTTTTCCTTGCACATAATTTCTCTGCCAATTCTGGAAGAATTATTGACAATATCTAAACCTATCATCTAAAACAATTATCCATAGAAAGTTTAAGTGAAACACAAACAAAAACTCGAGCTATGAATCACAAAAACAATTTGGACATGTTATAATTACCGTAGGAAATGACTACAAAAACCATCGGTGATTCACGACATCTTGAAGTCGCAAATTATGTGTTTTTCTGTGTTTTTTGTTCGAGTAAGATATTAGTGAAAGTATCATAACAATACAGATGGCTGAGCGATTGTAATTGCTATAACATTTTCTTATAGGTTGCTTTTATGATATAGACAAGCCGTTTACTAACTTGTCATTGTTAGATATTTCATTATACATCTGATACAGAAGTAATTACTGATCATAAGATAATTGAAAGGGAAAGAAATTTTGATATATAACAACTGTTCCTTGAGGTACTCCATATTTGATAAGGCATAAGCAACTTTTTCTTACATCTCTTTCTGATTTGAATTCTTGCATTTTTAGCGGGGCACGTTAAAATCTTTTAAATCTATAAATCATTTCATAATTTTGCCTTACATACTTCATTATATCTATTCTGTTCATTATATCAACTGTTACTATTACTAATTTAAATAATTTTCTTCATGTCTATATATGGCGAAACTATCAGCGTTTCCTCCGTGCTGTATTATTCATGTGGAGCTAATCTGGGTCAACAAACTGCCAACTTTTAAATAGAAAAACTTGTTAATTGAACAATTTCTTGGCATAGATTAAAAAGTTCAGTCTCCGAGCATATATCTTCTACTTTGTCAGGGAGAAAAGTAATTAGAACATCTTCATACGTTTTTTTAAACGAGCTTTAAATCTGTGTAAATTTAAAGTTTTTAACTAACGAAGTTCTAATTGGTTTTTGCGGGAGGAAAGGATAATTAAATATGGTTTTGTGATGGTTTGATAAAAGATAATAAATTCTTGTTTTAAAATTTTATGGAATGATATTTTTTAAGTAATGAAGGTAATTTATTTGCATTTTATGAATTCACTATTCAGTGTGCGCAATAGTCACAAACTTGTATATAATATATATAATAATATTATAGACTTTTTGTAATATTTATATTGGTGCACTTTTAATTGGTGTTTTAGAATATTATTATAATTTCATGTTTTTATGATTTTTGTTGAAGAGTCATTTTGCTATTTCAAGCATAAACATAAGATATTTTTATCATTTTTTATCTATGTCAGTATTTATTTAAAAATTCAAGATATCAAAATTCAAGCAAAATTTTTATTAATAATTTTTAGCTTTTATTTAAATATCAACCTAACGAAACGCCCTAAGAAAACTTACATTTTTTACTAATTGGATTTTTTATCAATTACATTATTTACGATCTAAATTTAATTTGACATATTTATTATCATGTGCTTTAAATAATTACGTTTTATCATTTGTGATGAGAAAGAAAATATATTACTCCCGAGCAGTATGCAAAGTTCTTCTCTTTGGCGAACGACTGGTTTTAGAGACAAGATTTGAATTGAAAACGACGCAATTAAATATATCTTATTTTTATTTTATAAAGAAAAAAAATTATTTAAAAATTGTAATGAAATAATAATCGACTTATAGCAAAATAATAGTTTTGATATAATTATAGCATTTGTTTTAGTAATTTCTTCGGAATAATTTCTACCTTCATTTTATTTTTTGTACTTACTGATCATCTATTTAATTTGGGACTTACACCCAAAAAAGAACTCGATATTATTGTATATCAAAGGAAATGCATTTACCCATGCCAGACTAGGTCTTTTGTCAGGGTATGTCGGACTCAATAAATAATACCAACTAATACTCCGCTTATCAATTGCTTCTTGTTCTCACGGAAAGCGCAGTTAGGTATTTACTTCATGGGGGGAGGCTCTAGAATTTTATAATTCTCGTTCTTGATTGAACTTGCGTCCTAATTGGTCCTATTTGCTCTTCTTCTGTTTTGTACTTTGTTATGTAATTATGATAATAAAGAAACAACAATATTTATTTATTGAATATTTTATATTCCATCATCATGTTATTTATTTAGAAATATAATTTTCTTTCATTCATTTTCAAACTATAAAATATTTCATATTTACCTTATATTTCTGAAAATAGTAAGACAAATGGTTTTCTACAGATGTCGATAAAGCCTACTTAAATTTTCATGGCGACTTCAGCGTTTCTTTGCTTTTGTACCGGATTTAGAATATTCTTCTTTTTACGATTTATCGTATGATAATAATAATCGACACATATATAAATTCCTAGTTTTTTCTAGGGCTATTTTTGTATTATCGGAAATACACTTAGTGTCATTTGTAAGTATTCTTTGGCTATATTTAGCAGTGTGATAAATGATATTGATTTTGCCCATGAATAAGAAATAAGGGTTAGTTTGCAATTCGTTTTTTCCATCTCTTACTTATTATTGGAAGTAAAATTAGAATATAATTGTATTAAATTAATTTAGTTTTTCTTTTTTTTCAGATCCACGCGCTTCTAAATCGCCACACCAACAAATAATTACTCATTTAACATTTATACCTAATGTTCGTTCACGCGAAAAACATTTTTGAATTTTTTGAACGTCTGTGATCTCATTGTTATTGCTATTTTATTTTTATATAAATTATATTTATAATGTCTTATTAATCTAAAAGCTTTACTTTATATATTATATTTTAAAATTCAAAAATAAACTTTGCTAAAAAAATCATGTGACTGAAATCTACATTAGTATAGCGGGATTACAATTACTTATAAATAGCGATTAAGAAGATAGCTTAAGCATCATTGCCAATATTATTGTATAGAATTTATAAGTGATCATTTCAATCATTGTCCCCTCTGCAAAAGAACTTACAAAATAGTGTTTTCACTAGAAATTATGTATCGAAAACGGTAATTTGGAAATATCGTTACTAAAGCGGGAAAATCTCTGAAGATTTTTTGAAGGGGTTAATAATTTTTGAAAAAATTTAAATCCCTTTGTTGGTGGATTTCGCACATTACTGGTGCGTGGATGGCCACTATGTCAACGACAATGAGAACTACCCTGCAAACCGTACCAGAGAGCTTGCCGGCTGATCATGTCACCTCAACAGGGACCCCCAGAGAGGCCACGCCCCAGAAGCCAAGGGTCACAGTTAAAGTCAGCCCAAAGGTAAGGGAATCATTATATATTATCATTTTTTTTCTGATATTTTGTGCCATATTGGAAGAATCATTGTGGAGGCTTTGGTATTAAAAAAAAGTTTAGTAAAGCCTAGTATTTATTAATTCATGTTTTAAATTTTGAATCCATGCTTTTATTTATACCTCTATGCCAAAGCCATCACAATTTGATAAGTGGTTATCCATTAATTATTTGATCTATACAAAAAATATTTTGGATTGAATTTTGTTGGCTCGTTCAATTTTGGGTATATAAATGCTCAAATGAATTGTCCATGTAATTTAAAATAAATATTTTATTTACTTTGAACCTTTTAGAATATGGGGAGGAAATTTTGACGGCTCAAAGTTTGTTTTTTTCTTATAATTTCGAACGTGTCGGGCTTCTCTATATTGCATTTTGCTATATAATTCTAACCATTTTCATTCTTTTCAAGTAAATTTGTATCAAAATTTTTAAAATAAGATTTGGAAGAGAAATACGTTATAATGTGGTATATATTTTTTCTTTTTTATTTATATACGAAATTTACTTGTATATACTTTTGCCTTTAAATTTTCTTTATATGCTTTTAATGAACCTTCTGCTCAATATGATTCTCCAATAATTAATTTTTGGATTATGAAAGAAGGCCTTTTCAGACAAATAAATCAAATTAAGTTCTTTAAGGGAAGTACTTAAGTAGGGTATATGGGTATTACCTATCATTCAATCCAAAAATTGATGAAAAAATTACGTTTTTTTAGGCTGTTGCAGTGGTGTTACACCTTTATATAATTTGATAAAAAAATCTTTTTATTTATATACGATATTCACTTTTATATACTTTTACATTTAAATTTTTCTTATATGCTTTTACCTGATGAACCTTCTGTTCAATATAATTCTCCAATAATTTTTCTTCAAAACTATACATTTTTGGGTTAATACATATGTGTACTTAAAATTACACAATAATGTTTTTATATTACTGTACTTCTATCAAATTAATCAAGTAATTAATGGATATACTTTATTATTCTATTATATTTAAATGTTTCATAAATATAATTGTATGTCCAAAATGTTATTGAATTTTATAGGAAATTCTTACGATAAATTTTGCAAAAACAAAAAAAATCAAGTAGCGTTTCATTTACTTGGCTAAGATTTATCATAAGTTTTTCCTAGTTTTGTCACATTGTGTTTTGTTTTCGCTTATTGCTGAAGGCATTATGTAAATTCAAATTACAAATTCTAATAAATGTACGATGGATTTGAAAAAAAATTAAACACGTTTCTGTGGCACACCTTCCATAGTGTTATTTCAAGACATGGTCCAATGATTTGATGAATTCATACGTTACATAATAAATAAATGAGCTGCACTGCTAATTACTTGGATCCATGATATATTTTTAGTCCTATACAAAAATGTTTTTAAATTTTTTTCACTGGGTGTATGTGTGCATTATCATGTTTTTGTAATCCCAAAAATAACGAAGCCAATCTATGTACAATTTTCAATGAAATTTAATATTCGTATCTTGGAAACCTATACCGACGTTTGTAAATATTTAACGCGCCGTTTCCTCCATAGCCGGGCATATAAATTGCAAATGAGTGAATAATATATATTTTCCATCGTAGCAACAGGCATATTTTCTCTCTGAAGGTATATTTTCCTGAAATTACATACACATGGTACTATATACAGTGAGATGGCATAATTTCCTGGTTTTTGATAACGAGGGACAGATGTATATCTATCTGATGGGTTTTGGTAAAAACAAAACCAGATCAGGATTATATTTTTTTCAAAAAAAATGTTTGCTTGATATAGACTTTAATTATAGTTTTTGGTAGCTTATATAGGCTTCTGTGGGTGAAAAAGATCAATTGTGAATAAAATATTACTGGCAATTTGCGTTGCTTTTTTTAGGCTTAGATATTTTGGCTTGGCTCAGTACCGCCTGGGTAATGCCGACTAAAATCTCCGCTATTAGGCATTACTTCATGGGGGAAGGATCTAGAATATTATGATTCTCTTTTTTAATTATACTTTCTTCCTAATTAGTGCAATTCGCTCTTCTTCTTTCTTTGTAAAGCAAGTCAATGAGGACTTCATTTTGGGCAGTGAAATTTGTGACTCTTACAAGTGTAGAAAACTTTATCTCATATTTCTTTTACCTCTTCAATACACTGTTGCAGCACAGATTATTTTTATATTTTCCTCGGTAACAACATGATTATTTCCCTTAGAGAGTATATTTTCTTGAAATTACATACATAGAGTACATAACATACGGCCAGATCATAATTTCCTGGTTTCAACAACGATAATCAAAAAGCGATTGTGCGCTCTGTGGCAATATGCAATAAATGTAATTACATTTGAAGCTTTGATATTTCATAGTTGATATATAGCTGGTCAATATTTTCATAATGTAAATGGTACATTTTTAAAACAAATTGGTGAATATTATTGATCATTTGCACCTCATGCAAAATTCCTAGGTAATTTCTACTACTATACTTAGATGTTATTTTATTTTATTTAAAATTTGATTTTTTACCATGCTCTATTTTATTTTAAACTTACAATATTTAGAGCAAATTATATTTTCTTCTATTGTTCGTCTTGTTCCTATTACATATATTACTACAGCAAAATATTATGTCCGTTACAAATCTGATATTTACGTTAAGTGTTACTTCTTGTAGCAAGTACAACATGTTAATGACTTCAACATATGCGACTTTTTATTGCGAACGCAAGGCGAACTGGAAATTGCAATCGTTTGAAGTCAAACGGAAGACCAGTCGGAATCATTGGAATGTCACCAAATCGTCAGCAATTTTTGATTGAATGGTGAAATTCAGTGCGTGTACATCATTATTCTTTGCGGCAAGAATTGCTCGTTGACTTAACCAAGCATAATTCTGATAATTCTCACTAATGTCATTACTCGAATTTTTAATTACGGTGCGTGAAGTTCTAGCACCTTGCATTAAGGCACGATGCCATGCACAATTAATTTTCTTACCTATAAACCTTGCGGAGCCCGAGACCTTTCCAACGAATGCAAAATTGTCGAAATCGGTTCGTGCGTTCTGGAGTTCTTTCGTCAGGAAGGAAAACTCGACTTATTTTTATATAATAGCAGGCGACCGACCTACACTACACCCTTCCTGTTGGCCAATTCTGGACGCTTGAAGCAGGCGATCGACCAGAAGCGTCCAGAATTGGCCAACAGGAAGGGTGTAGTGTTCCACCAGGACAACGCCAGACAACACACTTCGTTGATGACTCGTCAGAAGCTACGGGAGCTCGGATGGAAGGTTTTATCGCATCCATCATATTGCCCGGACATAGCGCCAAGTGATTACCACCTGTTCCTGTCTTATATATTACTGGCAATTGGCGTTGCTTGTTTTACTCCTTATAAAAAAAAATTATTTACATAAAATGTACAGAATATACTCTACATCACGAATTTGAATTAATAATAACAAGACTATTAGAAGCTATCCTTTATTACATTTTGTGAACCCCTAAATTTTTTTGAGGTTGACCTTGGACCTGGGGGTCTGTAAGGAAAACTATGGGAATCACTGCTCTATGTTATAAACTATTGCATTGTATACAAGTATATTATTTCAAGACGTTTTCTAAATATATATATTTATGTCACATTTCAATTAGAACTTAAAGAAAAAGTTTGTATAGCCATTATTATCGGTGCAGAAACGCCCAGGTAAATGATGTTAACTTTCACTTCAAATAATATTGTACATCCCATCATATGTAATTGATTTCTATTGAAAATTTCTAATACTTGATGACATAGATAAAAATCTTAATATGAAATATGAATTTATAAATACTCAGAACCAATATAAAAATTGAAATCGAAAATTGAAATAATAAGATCCAAAAAAAATATCTATCTGATGCATCTCTATCTAATTTGATTTGAAATAGACAGGTATGATTCATTTCAAATTTTTAAAAACTAAAATATATTAGTAAAATGTATAGAATATTTTTATTGATTTCTGTAACCCCTAATTCGTATTGATATTATCAAATTAGTTAGTTAAACCACTGTTACATTTTTGCATTTAGTAACGTGGCTTTTCAAAAACCTTTTCAGAATTTCAGTTTTCATTCAAAAATATCATATTATTTGGAAAACTAAGCATTTTTACAATATAGCATTCTGTACATTTTTATTTACACAAATAAATTTTATTTCTATTTAATTTATGTGAATTAATTTCTCATTTACATTATTCCTCATTGTTTCAACAACTATCTGATCATTGTTTTCCAATTCTATATATTCCTTATTGTTAGTTATTGATTTCATATGCACATATAATTTTAAAAATTAGTTTCTCGTGCTAAATGTTTGATTATGTATTTTAAACCGGATTTTTAACGAGTTCGCTTTTTTTGCCTTGACCTTAAGGTGAAATGTTAAGAACGTCATGCATTTAATGATGTACTTGACATCGAATGATATTTTAATTAGAGAGCATTAATTTTGATAAGATTGATCGAAATTTGATCTGACATTATGGAGGACAAATGGTAATAGATAATTACATTTTGGCTAATGACCTGCAGGTTGTTGCAAACAAATCAAATCAAAACAAATTGAATATTTATATTGATCCATCATATGAATAAGTGACCTAATTTTAGTGTTCAGCTACATTCCAGAAATGCTTTATTATTATTTTTTGTTTTACCATATAATTTTAAATAGTTTGATTGGATATCTTCCAAATTTACTAAAAAAATATAATTTTTAATAAGAATGAAAAGAAGTTATCATATCAGTATAACTTCTTTTTTAAATAAAAAAGAAAATTCATTTATTAGTTAAAAAATAAGTTTCTATATAACAGATGGATATGAGATGATTAAATACTTAAACGTAGCAGAGTTCTAATTGGGGTTTTTTTAAGTTCTTTTGGAAGATTATTTGATTAAGGAGAAA